GGGGTAATTACCCCCCAAAAAAAGTACTTGGCACTATGGTACCAAGTACTATAGTGCGACTATATAAGGTTATTGATGTACTGTGAAAGAAAGCGTTACCTTGTATTCCTTTCCATGGAATCCTTTGTTTGCAGTTCCAGTCTCCCCCCACCACTACCACTGAACTGCTACTAAAATGTTTTAATGTTTCACTAGGTTCATGAAAAAGGTAAATGCGGTTAACAGCAGGGATGAGAATCAGCTCCTCCAAATCCGAGGCCATGGTTCTCGATCGTAAAAAGGTGGCTTGTCCCCTTCAGGTTGGAGGAGAGTCCCTGCCTTAAGTGGAGGAGTTCAAGTATCTTGGGGTCCTGTTCACGATTGAGGGAAGAATGGAGCAGGAGATCGATAGACGGATCAGTGCGGCTGCTGCAATAATGCGGACGCTGCACCGGTCTGTCGTGGTGAAGAGAGAGAGAGCTGAACGAAAAGGCAAAGCTCGCAATTTACCGGTTGGTCTACGTTCCTACCCTCACCTATGGTCATGAAATCTGGATCATGACCGAAAGAACGAGATCCCGGATACAAGCGTGTAGAGCCGGTTCTCCTCCACATCGAGAGGAGTCAGTTGAGGTGACATCTTCTTTGGATGCCTCCTGGACGCCTCCCTCGGGAGGTGTTCCAGGCACGTCCCACCGGGAGGAGGCCCAGGGGACGAGCCAGGACACGCTGGAGAGACTATGTCTCTCGACTGGCCTGGGAGCGCCTAGGGCTTCCCCCAACATAGCTGGAGGAGGTGTCTGCGGAGAGGGAAGTCTGGGAAACTCTGCTTAGTCTGCTGCGATCGCGACCCGGTTCCGGATAAAGCGGGAGACGACGAGTACGAGTACGGTTAACAGCAAAGGTGTAAGCATATACATTTATTACTTTGATCAGACTTAGACGGATTTATTTTGTTGTTTTCTATGTAAGTGTAAGCAAAAATAAATTTCATTTAGCTCTTTAGACAATTATGATAAGTATTATAATGATAAGGTCAGCAGCAGTTGTTGTTGAGCTGCTGCTACTGCCTCCAGCTACTGAAGCACTCGCTTCTCCTGGCTCAGGGGCGGAAGAGGACGATAAAGACGATGCTGTGAGGGTGGTAGCCCCCTGGGTTGTAGAGGCTGACGTGGTTAAAGCAGCAATGGTGCCATCCGCAGGTTAAGCAGCGACAGACAATGCTGGAGAAGGTGTGGAAGCTGGAGGGGGCCGGGAGGAAACACCCCAGCCGGCTGGGGTGTTTCAGCATTTGACAGGGAAGCATCTAGAGTTCTCTCCTCATTTTCACCTGCAGAGGGCTTTGCTTCCCCTCTAGATGCCGGAGATGATCTGGGACAGTCTCAAAGGAGCGTCTATTCAAGCAGAGCTCTTCGCTCCTATCGGCGCGGTACAGCATCAGCACCCCCAGGCCAACAGCACAGTCCGGTACTGCTGGACGCAGCTAAGACCCCGCCAGAGAGTTCCAGTCAGAGATGATCCATTTAGTTTTCCAACGAGCCCGTTGGAGAGCAAGATTGATGGAAGCGGAGGTCTGTGGGGATCTCTCTTTAGCTTCGCAGTTAGCCCCCCTCTGCAGCCTCGCTTTCTTACCTTTTAAACGGTCAAAAATTTCAGTATTTAAAATATTTTGTGACCGTAGATCCAACAGCAATGGCGATCATGAATGCGGGTTTGAGGTCTCGTTTGTATCGTTTTAAGCAGAATATTTGTAAAACTGTCAAGAGGAGCTGCTCTTGGCCGCTGCCTCCGAACGCCGCCATGGTAACCAATTAATTGATTGTTTCATGTACTACTTGTACCCCATGGTGCTCTATATCAGAAACTACCACATGCAATAGAACAATGAGCTTTGAAAACAGGAAAGCTACACCTGAACTCAGACTAGAGCCGTGACTAAGGAAACCAATCCCCACCCCCCCTACCCCCCAGTTTGAAGTGTGCCTGTTTCCTGCAGAAATAACACATCAATCTTTTTTTGAGTTGCCAACTCAGATATTGAAGCTCTCTTATGTTTTTCCTAGACTGACCTCTACGGCACAATTTATTTTACTCCAAGCTAGAGGGAAAATCCAAAACTACGAGGGCTGACGTCATTCAAAAGTCTGAACCTTCTGGTAATTTAGACAGAAAGACGATTCCAGGATCTGGCACGCATTTACCAGCCCGGCATGAAGAAACCTGCATCACTCATATAAGTAAT